CCCCAAAACCCCAAAACCCCAAAACCCCCAAAGCTATTTTATTGAATTTTGAAGATATGATTATAAAATTCAAAATATTTAAATGGAGAGCAGACCTAAAAAGAAGCAAGTTGAGCCAGGCCCAGAGTTGCCTACTGATGAATCTCAGGCTGGAGTTTCTTATGTTGACTTTGAATAACTCTAACAAGTTGACTAAGACCATTTAGCTTCTAACACTGATGGCTTTATGAGTTCCCTCCTTGAATCTGCAAGTAGTGATGATTGGAAAGCATAGTATGAAGCAATCAATACTTTGAGATCCCTGAACAGATATAACACTGAAGTACTTGTAGCCTATCTAGATCAGTTTAGTAAATTTGTGAGAAGTTAGGTCGACAATCTTCGATCTAACCTTTCAAAAAACTCTTTGCTGTTTTTAAAGGAATTCAGTGCAAACAAGCAAGTAGATCATGCAAAAATCAGTGGCTTCATAGCTCATGTTTATCCTGTGGCTTTGATTAAAACAATATATGAGAAAAACTTCATAGTTGTTGAAGCTAAGCAAACATTTGCCAATGCTGTAGAGAACTTACTGTTCCCAGAGCTTATCGATACATTGGTTGAAGGATGCAGAGCTAAAATCATCACATTAGCTGAGCATTCAATTGGATATTTGACTACTCTTGTGAAAAACTTTGATCCAGAGTATTTCAACTAAGGCTCATAGTCAGTCTCACTGTCTGGCTTGATTAATCAACTCTATCAGGAATATGAAGGCAAGAGAATGAAGATGAAAAAGGGTGCAGAATCTGTCTTTTCAGATATCAAGGATAAAATTGGAAAAGAAAGAATAGAAGGAGTTCTTATTGATATCTTTAGCAGTCAAGAGAATGCCAAGGAAAGGAGTGATAAGATCATGAAACTTTTTGAGGAAAAAACTGTGAAGCAAGCTGATAAGAGTAAAGATTTCAGAAGTTTCTTGAAACAGCAAAAGCAGCAAGCTGTAAAGGATGAGGATGAAAATATGCTGTAATGACATTAGGCTAGAGGAGCTATATAAATAGCTACTTAGTAAAATGTTCTGATAAACTTATTTCAATGTTCTAATCTGCATTCAATCGCTTGCCTCTGTAAGATTGTAGTGATATTTTGTATTATTCAATCTTATAAACTAAATGTTTAAAGTCTTATCACTGTATTTTACAATTTTAAGCAGCAAGGGGTTTTGGGGTTTTGGGG